AATGAGCAGCTCAGCTTGAAATTCCAACGCGTCACCGAAGCTGAAAATGTCGACTTCGAGGTGAGTGGCGGGATGTGCTTCGTGGAGCGTTGGTGTGTGAATCTGACCTCTTCACCCTGCCAGCTCTTGTCGGACGATTGGACAAAGATGCTATTGCTGCAGACGGACCGCACGCTGGAGCTGCACGCCCGAGGAGGTTTCCACACGCGGATACGCATCCCCAAGTTTGGCAGAGCGCTGGCATATCACTACAACTCTGCAGTCGCCTACGTCGGCGCAGCGGGTGCGGAGGTGTACAGGCTCAATCTGGACCAAGGCAGGTTCCTCGCCCCCTTCGATTTGGATCAGGCTGAGTCAGCAGGTCGCATAACAGGCTGCAATGCGCTAGACATCAATCCTGCGCATGGCCTCATGTCGCTGGCAACCGAAGGCGACGCTTGCGTTCAGTTGTGGGATGCTAGGAGTCGCAATAGAGTCGGCAGCATCTCCATCGCCACTAGATCTGCAAGGCAAGCTGCTCTGCTATCTGCCCGAAATGCCTTGCCTGGCATCTCCTCCGTTGGCGATGGCGACTCCGTCAGCAATGACAAGACCATCACATCTCTCCTCTCTGCAACTTGCCTACGATCTGCGCAAGACGGTCTCAATTTGGCAGTGGGCACCACCACAGGTCACGTGCAGCTCTACGACTACAGAATGTCAAATCGAGCGTACAAGGAGAAGGATCAAGGATTCGGTCTGCCCATCAATAGCCTGAGCTGGTGCGGCGACGCACCTCGCTTGCTGAGCGGTGACGCGCCCAGCAATTCTCATCATCCTCGTTCAGAAGCCAAAGATTGCGTCTTATCAGCCGACTCAAAGGTCATCAAGATCTGGTCCCGCTCCGAGCAAGACGATGCAGCGGCTCAGCCTTCCACCTCTTCGACGACCAATCTGGCATCCATCCCCTCATCCACAGCGTCTGGCGATTTCAATCAAGTTCATCACATCCCTGGCACTGGCATGCTCGTCGCTGCGATGGAAGCCACACGATGCGCGGCTTGGTATGTGCCTACTCTCGGCCCCGCTCCTGCTTGGTGCAGCTTCCTGGACAGCCTCACCGACGAGATGGACGGCGATGTGGCCACTCTGGGCAAAGAGAACAAGCCGGGCGTCTATGATGATTTCAAGTTTGTGGACAAGGAGGAGCTGAGATTGTGAGTAATTGTAGACGCTCAAGTATCGGTGATCCATCCTGCGAGCTTACAAACGTGACTCGATGCCCTGCGCCGTTCTCTCATAGACTCAATATGGAGCACATGCTCGGCACAGATCTTTTGCGTCCCTACATGCACGGCTACTTTGTGCATTTGCGTCTGTACGAAAAGGCTAGGCTGCTGGCCAATCCCACTGCTTATTCTGATGCGCGAGAGAGGGCTATTCGCGAGAACATCGAAAAGGCGTCGAAGAGCCGCATCAGGCCTACATTGCGGGACGAGGAGAGGTTGCGGAGCGCAAAGAAGGAGTTGGAAGGTATTCGAGTCAACAAGGAGCTGGCGCTCAAGATTCAGAGGAGTGA